TGCAAGAGATCTCCGGGTGACTGGTTTTTCATGAAGAATATTTTTAGTATATCATTGTGAATGTAAAATAAACCAAATATAATATTTGTTATTGTTAAAGTAAATTGGTTTATTAAAATAGACTATTTGAACAGTTAAATTTTTAACAATAACACATTGTAGCGTTTTGTGGTTATTTTCCTGTACGCCTGTTAATATAGGTTAACAGGCAGGTAAATACGTATATAATATACGTTTGGTATAATTACAGCAAATCTCGAGCAGTAATAAAACGAATAAGGATGACGACTGGGTAAAAAAAAAACCGTCAGCCAGATAGTAGAAAAATATCAGAACCGTTTTTCTTAACTTCAATATAACAAGAGAAAGCTTATCTTCGTGATTCGTATAGCTTCGTGAATTATCAAAAAATGCTTCTCTTTGGAACTGTATTAACAGTTCGAAATTAATGAAATTTCAATTACGGAGGAATGGAATAGGTCTTCAGGTTGCATTCGTACGAGTAGTATTCATTATTATGATACAATCAAATTTATAATATCACGTGTAGTAGAATTTTAAAATGTTAAAAAATTTCATCGACGATGATGTAATCCACACCGCCATTTTTGAGGAAATATAGAACTAAAGAAATTAACACTATTATTGTTTAATAAACATTTAATTTGCAATATAACATGTAAATAAGTATATTGATTTCTTATATTATTACGCGCACTATCCATAAATGAAAGACATGTGTCATACGTGAACACGGAACCTGTAAGTATTTATTAGGGAGCATTTAAAAAAATATATATTAGTTCCCGAAATCAAACTAGATGTCGATACGGTACTTTCTAGATTTCTCCATGACAACCCTTCCGGTTTTCTTGTATAAAAGTAAATTAGTTTCCAAAACTCAATAAACAACTCGTATTCTATTTGTATTTTTTCGTATTTGTATTTATATTTAAGTACGAAACTTCAAATTTCAGTTTTTCAATATGTTAGTTAAAAGGAAAGGAAACGACTATCTTTGGTCCATTCGTTTCCTGAAAAAAATTACTTTTGCTAGGGTCGCCATCTAGTGGAGGTGCTTTTTAGTGCTTTCTTTCTTCATTACATTACATCTTGTGGTTAAATTTCCCCACGATTTTTGTATAAATAACCGGCCAAGAGCAAGTCGGACTCGTGCACATAAGTTTCCGTACGAGAAATGAGCAAAATAGTCACGTTTGTTGTATGGAGTTTATCAATGTTATGCAACATGACATGAGATATTTAAATTCATACTTAGATATTTCTGGGACAAGCAAAAAAACGGACTAGACCCAAAGTAATTTTTTAGTTTATATAACGTTAACATAATACTTTGGTATGTCCGTTATTTAATACTTTGAATGCCAAAGTGATGCATGACAATAATAATAAAAAGTTAACTTTTGAAACTATCAGTGAAACAAAAGCACATTATATTTACAGATAAACGGGGTACGCGGCAGAAGGGACAAAGCGATTCCTGTGAGAAAATCATACTCAACAAGAAATTCAACTTTTCCTCGTTCATTACCATCAAACCGACAGGCGTCAGTACCAAATCAGCGAAACCACCCAAATCACCACCTAGACCAGAGCCCGCTCCTGCCCCGACCGAGAAACCTGCGCGTAGAACTGCAAAAGCAAAATCTCATGATAAAGTCATCCAAAGACGATTAACTGAGCTGGATCTCCATTACGATAACATAAAAACTGTGTTGCGATGTTCGAACGCAACACCGATACGCTGCAAAGTGAGCGGCAGATACGCGTGTAGCTACTGCCTCGATCAATTCGAAGACCCGCGCGATTTAAAAGCTCACACCATAGACACACATGCTGACACAGACGATAAACCCGAGTGTCTATGCATCCGTTCTCTTTCCAAATATTGCGTACACTTGGACGTTACAGATTTAAAATGCGAACTCTGCGATGGCAGCATGGAGAAACTGGAAGATCTGATCGATCATTTGAAATTGGAACACGACGAGTTGATCCACACAAACATTCGGAACTTAATGGTTCCATATAAATTTGAAAGCGCCGATGTGAATTGCGTAGTCTGTTTAAAGAGTTTCGACGATTATTTAGATCTGCAAGAGCATATGAGTGATCATTACAAGAATTATGTCTGCGAGTTTTGCGACAAAGCATTCATTTTGCGTAGCACTATGATAGAACATAAGAAAGTAGTGCATCGCGTTTGAGTATGTTATATACTTCATGTATTTTATATTTAATACGTAATTAAAGTACTCATGCGTCATAAACGTCCCGTTTCATTTACAGACCTGAAAAATGTATGAAATGTCAATTCATGACTTTCGACCAAACAGAATATAATAGGGATGATGACTGGGTAAAAAAAATGCAATTCTATTTAGTCCGTCAGTCAGATAATAGAAAAATATTAGATACGTATTTTTTTTTACTTCAATTTAACAGCAAATAGCTTAGATAACAGACATTAAAGTTGAGGAGTGGGGGCTCGCTACGTCACAGTTTAGTAGAAAACGTACTCTAACGTGACGTCATGCGAAATTTCAACTCAATGTAACGCCGTAATTTTATGATTACGAAAAAAATTAAAAAATACGTGTTTAATATTTTTTAACACTCTACCTGACGGACAAACAAACAAAAATTAGTCATCATCCCTATTGTCAGTGTTGTTATGGATATGATAACTCGGATTAATAAAGATTTGAAATTCAATTAATTCGAGTTAGATATTATAAGAAACATGAAACGATGTCATATTTATTAATTCTCAATGAACTTTTATTATGTCGGAACAATTATCCGAAAATCGCTAGTGACATCTAGTTTGCTTTCAAAAACTAATATTTATTTTTTAAATACGTCGTCATTGATTTTTGGGGAATTTAGCTTAACAATGAAGTCTGAAATTTATATAATTTGAATTTCAGAAGAATTATAATGGTAGCAATTTCATGAAAACTAGACTACGTTTTTCCTAAAGTTATTAATTTTAAGCAAGTAAAAGAAAATACTGCTATGTAAAAATAAACACATTTTCTTGCCTTAAAATTAAATCAAAATTTAAACTTTTTATACCCGCGAAAATTCATGACGTCACTGTGATATGTACAGGCAATCACAGAAAGACCAAATAGCGAAATTCGTGTCGTGGCTGACATGCTATTCGATCTCAACGCGTTGTGGTAATGAAGAAAAGCCATCACGCGTATGGAATATTATTTGATTACGACGCACACTACTTTCCGATATGGATCCTACTAGGCCTAGGCTGGAAACGTTTTGGTAGATGTCCTTAGGAAATTTTTTATTTTATAAAATCACTGCATAACGTGTTTGTTATTATGAAATATATTATATAAATTAAAATAAAACAATATTTGTTGTTTATTGAGATTACTTTATATTAAAAAAAATCAACGTATTAATATTAAGTAATAAATTACTTAACACGAAATGTTAATTATTTGGAAATTTCTTACAATTCACTTAAAATAATTAGGGATTGTAATTTTTTTATAACGACAACTGACAATTTAAATTCTTTCAAGTAATAATAATATTTAACACAAACATAAATGTTTATTGTCCACCAATAAACAACAATAATGTACTTCAAAACAAATGCATACAGTAGAAAATTAAAAGATGTCAATAAAACAAGAACAATGCCATCTAACAATCGAGTACGAAAAGAAAGATGTAAATAAGCTAAAAACAGAGCCATCTAGGAATTTGATTTATAATTAATAGGAATATCTTTATGACTAATCTGACAGCTGTCGCCACAGTGACGTCACACAGTGGCGGGACGTGTTTCAAGTCACGTAACACAAACGAAAAACCACTACTTTTAATTTTATTATCTTAAAATTATAATATAATTGTGCGATTTTAAGACTCAAAATCAGAATCTCTATGTTTATAACTATATAAATTTTAATTTTTCTGTGATTTCGTAACTTATTTTTCACTATCGAAATTATTATATTAAGTACATCAGCGTTCAATATTGAATGCTTTTTTTAAACCCCTATTGCATTGTAGGTAGTATGAAAAATCGATTTAGGAATTTTGACATATTATGGTAGTCTTACTTACAGAGGTGTGTACCTAACATACATCGGAATACATCAATAGTCAATAGGATATTTGACAAAATTAAAAATTGGGAAAAATTGTGGTCAATTTTGCTTTATTTAAAGAAACGATTTTTTTTTGGATAACACAAAATAAAATTAAATATATTTTGTCATTTTATCTGAGACGAAAACGCCTTGTCGGTGACAACTTCGATGACGTCACACACTAGTAAATATGGCTTCCTGTTGACGATTCTAGTTTGATAAATTTTGTTTATTCGAACATTTAAATTTAAATTTTGATTTTATTGATAAATCCAGTTAATTTGTCCGAAACATTAATGTAACGTGCTTATTATGTAATAAAGAATAATTTCAAAGGATTTTTTAAGATTAGTGAAATACCCTATTCTGATAATGTTAGCATAATTATGGAAAGTCAATAGCGCTTCAACTATAACCCTTTATGAGACAGTTCTCGTTACTAGATGTGTGGTTTAAGATATTTATTTCTCACAAGAATTTACATAATTCACTTACTAGAGTTGAGTTACTAGACCACAAAATAATAAATATTATTATTACATTCGACTAATATATAATATTATGTAGTCCAATGTCTTCCTCACAAATCAGTTCATATAATGAACTTCATGTAGATGGTACAATGGCAAAACGCATGTAGTTGAGATTCTTTTGAGATGCGATTATTACATAAACATTAGCGGAATTAAGGCCCAGATATTTTCAAAAGCTCTCAACATGAAAGTAAAACAGTAGGTATGGAACGTGATGAAAGCCTGTTGCTATGTTCAAGGCAATTTAAATAATAAAATAGCACTGCTTTGATGTTGACACTATCTTTAAATAAAAATATTTTCAGGTTAATGGCAAATTATGTTTCTAAAGTGTATAATTAGTAATATTTTTTATTTGACAGGTCGGAAGAGAGTGTCCACCATCACCTTGAATCGAACAAAAGTCATCAAAATAAATCCCAAACCGGAAATTGAGCTAAAGAGACAGGGTGAAATCGACAAGCAACTCGAAAATTTAGCTACTATCCTAGTCCATTCCAATGCCACACCGATTCGCCGCAAAGGTAGTAAAGGATACGCATGCTGTTTCTGCCAAGAGGAGTACTTCGAAGCGAAGGACCTCAAAACGCACACTTTAACAGCTCACGAAGAAATCAAATCCACTTTTAAGAAAGGATTTTCAATGCTCGACTTTGTAGTAAAATTAGATATAACATCCTTAACTTGTAACATCTGCGATACGAATTTCGATTCTATAGAAGATCTCGTCAAACACTTGACATCGAGACATAACAAACCGTACCACGCAAAATTGAAAAACTACATCATTCCATTCAAATTTGACAAGGACATATTCGAATGCGTGGAATGTCATCAACAGTACAATAATTTCAAAATACTTTTGGTGCACATGAATTCTCATTATAGGAATCACATATGTAACATATGCGATGTAGGTTTTGTCAATAGAAAAGTTATGCTGGCTCATAGGAGCAGACACAAGAAAGGCGTGTTCGTCTGTCCTCAATGCAACAAGATATTTGATGCAAAAGTCAAACAGAAAGAACACGAAAGGGCAGTACACGTGAACTTCCAAAAAAGATACAGGTGCGGTTTCTGCAATGAGAAATTCACAGATTATATAAAAAAGAATGATCACGTGGTGAAAATGCATGGAGCGAAGCCACTAGTACTGAATTGTCAAGCCTGTGACAAGACTTTTAGTAATCAAAGAGCGTTGAACCTACATGTCAAGTCGTACCATTTATTAGAGACTCAGATGAAGAAATCTGAACTGTCATCGAAGAAATCAAAACAGAAGAATGCGAACTCGTTCAATGATTAAAACTTTGAGAGTTAACCATGGTTTACAAAGCCATCATGGTTGACCACTACAGGTTTTAAGCTTATTGTGCTATCAACATTTGACGAACAAAAGACCAGCAAGCCTACGCATTTACTTTGGCTTCGATTGGATTGATATCGGATTTATAATAGGGGAAAGGGGGACAGATAGCCCAGGAGCGGGGTATCTTTGAACATTTGACTACTGCTACTAAAATTGATGTTGCGGCTACATCTTACATATTCTTCTTTATATGATGCTGCGACTTTATAGCGTAATGGTCAGACTAAGCACTGTGAAACAGTAAAAGGGTTAAGAAACTAGAGGATTTTAAAATATGACATAGTTTAAAAACTGTTCAAATCTGCCCCCCTCTCCCCTACAGTATTGAACGTCGAGTCCATCCTGCTACTCCTGCACATTAAATAAAATATGCATTGGTATTTAATGTAGGTATACTTACCAATATTTGAGGATTCAGCGCGTCTATCTATCTGTCTGTTGCCGACCCTTGCTCTAGCCACTTGCATACGGTGGCAGTTATTTGGTAATTGGTAACATATTTACATGATTTATATCTATTTATGATGAATTATCCTTCTAGGCCAGAGTTTCCCAAAAGTTACTCAAGATCCCACAAATTATATGTTGAGGATCCACGAAAAAAATTGCTCAAATGATCGGAGTTGAATATTATGTATAATTTGAGTGTCTATGTTTTACATTTTAATAAACATTGCACCGAAAATGACAATGTTATAATTACATGAGAAGAGCACCGATAAGTGACTTGCTTAGGTTGCCTTCAACCTTTAATTCGTCATCAAACTCAACAAGAAACCAATACATATAGCTATGTGACGGTGCGTCGTACCATACCAGACACTGTTCGCCTTGTCATAGGTATTTTAAAATAACTAGGAGAGGCTCCACGTTGGGCGCCAGATCAGATACTGCGATGGTAGGGTAATTCGTGGGTGGGTACAGGAATAAGCTTTAGTGATTATTTTAAATGGTTAGGATAAAACACTATAACGAAATATATATAAAGAATATAGAAATTAAAATTTAATAAATATAAAATACAATACTTATCTATTTTAATAATAAAAAAGTTTGAACGTAAAAATACCAAGTATAAGATGAAATGTGTTGTACGACACTTCGTTACACAGCCATTGGCATGAATTCCACGTACATAAGTAGAAACAAAATAGCGATTTCCGGTATACGAGTTTTTATTATTTCTCTGAATCATTCAAATTATCATTTGGTCCAAAAGTAATTGCGACTTAGAACGTTACGCGATTTAAAAAATCGCTATGACAGTCACTATACCTTTGATAAGGATTGCGATATATTTTAAAATTTGACAATTAGGCTACCGGAAATGTGCTATTGCGCACTCGCCATTTGGGTTCAGCTTAGGTGGCGCGCATTATTATGTAGTCAATGAGGAAATATATAAAAAAAAGCACTTCCACTAGATGGCGACTCAAGCGAAAGTTGATTCTTGCAAGAAACGAATGGACCAAAGATAGTCATTTCCGTTCCTTTTAACTAACTTATTAAAAAAACTGAAATTTGCAAAGTTCGAAACTTAGATATCTAAAAAATACGAAAAAGTACAAATAGAATATGAGTTGTTAATTGAGTTTTATACATGAAAGATAACGGGAAAGGTTGTCATGGAGAAATCAAAAAAGTACAGTAGCGACATCTACTTTGATTTTGGGAACAATATTTTTTAATACTTCCTTATTAAAAGTTTATTATTATCAAGTGGATCCGGCAAACTTGTTTTTTCAACAAACTGATATATTAAATAATTTAGAGCTGATGATGACTAGTTTTCCAAAGTTTCTGTCTCTATGGACAATAGGTGACAGGTCTGACAAGCGTTCATGTCCCATCGAAGTTCTTAGGTCTTAATTTTTACATATCTTATTTTTCTCTATACATTCAATTTTTATTATCTTAAACAATGTAATCTATTACCACAAAATTCAAAATTGACATATTTTATTATTGTTTCTTTACGTGTAAAGATCTTAAACGTGTCATTGGCGGAATTGTGTAAACGCAAATAGGCCATGAATAAAAAAAAGAAGAATTTCTTAGGTAATGTAAAACAGAAATCGCTTTTTTGTTTACTTCTGTCGACTCTAAAAAAATAAATTAGGAAGTTTTTATTAATTTTTGTTTAATAAAAAATTCCAGTTTACAACCGACTTAATTTTTCAAATATTTGTAAGGTTGGTGTGCCTAATAAAACCACTGCTGAGCGTAAACATCGGGGATCCGGCACGGAGGACATCGGGACTAACTCTAAAACTGCCATAACATCCTAACATAATATATCTCTTACTCGTAAGAAGTCTTTCAGGATTACATTTTGCCAAATCTATTCTCCTTTTATACTTAACTAGTTTTCCGTCAGCGAATGCACGCACGTGGTCTTGTATAATACGTAAAATCTTCCTTTTGAATCACTGTCTATAAAAAAACCGCACAAAAATTCGTTGCGTAGTTTTAAAGATTTATATAGACTGACAGACGGAAAGCAACTTTGTTTTATACTGTGTAGTGATATTTGTTTGTTATTTGAATAAGCTCTGAAACTACTGAACCTATTTTAAAAATGTGTACTTAAGTACTTTTCTTTATTGTGTGTCGAACAAATAAGAGTAACAGTCAAGTAGAAGTTATAAAGTGACTTCATAGTCTAATGAATTCATTTTTAATTCGATATAAAATCACACATACTCATAGAGGTATAAAATAATCTGAAAAAAGCAGCTCTGGCCGAGTTTCTCGCCGGTTCTTCTCAGTACAAGGTCTCCCGCCGTAGAGTAACGAACCGATTGCATAGTTGACTTTCACAAGTGCTTGCAATTGCCTTTTTTATTATAGGGAAAATGCTTTAAGCATACCCAGAACAAAATTTCGAAGTCAGTTCTATTTAAATTAATGACTTTACTTTAGGTTAAATTAAGTGATAAAAACAAAACTATGGGGATTAATATTACAGCTACTCTTAACAATCGTAGTACCGGAGCTTTATTTCGAATTATTCGCATCGCGTCGAGCACTCGTTTTCACCGTTTCTAATTCGCTTAACTGCAACGAGTTGTATGAACCACTCGTGGTTTAGCGAACGCTGTATTAATAGAACATACGTCAAAACATGAAATAAATAAATGACGTTGAAATGAATAAATCGATGTCGTTTATAGCCATTTTGTTTATGTTCACACTTTTGTGTTTATATAAAATATTTTCTATACAATACGATGAACAAAATTAAATATTTCCAATCATGTTGGAAAACGATTTAAAAATACTAAAAAACGGCGTCATGCGACTAAGAAGTCGAGCGTATACGGCAAGGAGATTCTAACGAATGAATAAAATATAGAGCTCCAAATGAGAATAGCCACAGCACGGCCGTAGCTAGGGGGGGGCATTGTGGGGCAATGCCCTACCTTGAAATCACATTGCCCTACCTTAAAAATAAGTAAGATAAATTATTATAAATAAATTGTTTGTTCTTAGTTTGAGATCTTAACATTCCGAACGTACCATAGTTTTTGACATTCATTTCATATTATAATAAGTCTTTGTTCTGTGTATAGATGGCATTTGAAGCGCCATCACGTGAAGGGATGGATCTATTTAATTATAATATCTGTGATGCAGAGGGAATTCCCCGTATCATAGATTGCAATATGGCTATTTTATATTGCAATCTATGATACGAGGAATCCCTTTATAAACTAGAGATTCTACGTTTTCAACTTTAACTGCAATGAAAAGGTCACAAAGAATGTCAATGGGTCAGGAGAGAATGGCTGATATGGTATTTCTGACCCTTGGAAAAAAAAAGAACAAAATCAGGTGATCTGAACGAAGTTCTTCACATTTTTAATAAGATGGCAAATCGTAGAATTCAGTTGTTTTAAATGTGATTATTATAATTATTACTTTTTTATTATTTTAACTATGCTAATAAGTTTGCAGCAACAATATGATCTAAATGGTATTTAAGTTATATCTATTTACTCATATCACTCCATCCAATAGTTAATTACGTGGATTATAAGATAATATTAAAGACGTGGATCTCTACATCTTGTTCACTTGTCCTTCATCATTGAGGATCTAATAGTTCTTAGATTCAGGCTCTTGTTCTGTCACAAAAATTATTTGTTTACGAATAGCTATTGACCTAGTGGTCAGTTATATACATGGTGATTGATTTAGTAACCCGTGCTTCGGAGCAGATCAATTATGATATTTTTTTACTTCCGCCCTACCTATAACCAATGCTGCCCTGCCTAAAATTCGACTCTAGCTACAGCCCTGAGCCCCAGTGTACCCTCACGTGGAGGATGAGACCTGGGAAGCCTTAGTCGAGTCAACGGGACACCCATCCTTATTAATGGTTCTGCTTGTAAGTGCCACAAATTCAATGTCGAACTCAGCGCTGTCATAGCAAATAAGTTCCTTTTTTATTGAGATAGATTACATCAAAGAAAAACCTATTTGAAACAGTAATAAAGGTTTTATTTCATTGAAGCACTTTGACGTCACAGCGCCGCGCCTCGACTACGAGTTTGATTTGCTTTTTAATGAGGAAGTATTTAAAAAAAAACGAAAGCACTAAAAAGCACCTCCACTAGACGGCGACTCTAGCAAAAGTTGATTTTTGCAGGAAATGAATGGACCAAAGACAGTCATTTCCGTTCCTTTTAACTAACATTTAAAAAACTGAAATTTGAAAAGTTCGAAACTTAGACATCAATACAAATACGAAAAAGTACAAATAGAATTTGAGTTGTTTATTGAGATTTGAAAACTAATTTACTTTTAAAGACGAAAGAAAACCGGAAAGATTGTCATGGAGAAATCAAGAACGTTCCGTAGCGACATCTAGTTTGATTTCGGGAACTAATATTTTTTTAAAAACTTCCTCATTAACTAAATAACCATGAAGATAA